GGTGAAAATAAGGAGGAGCTGGCTGTCCTGCTCCCGCTGCTCCAACCAAAGACACAACAACCCAGGTCCACACTGTGCTGCACTTGAATCTTACTCCCTCCGATCGCATACTATAAGACGTTTTTGCAAGCTTACATACTAACAATCTCATTTGTCTTTGTCATAATTATAATTCCCCCTTCTCTCTTTGTGTGTAGGCCTGAAGAGATATTATTTGATGGACCGATGAAGTTCTGCTTCTTCGTGATTTATGCAGCACCTATTGTGGCCGTTCTTTGCGTTTATAGAAACAGTCTTCGCCCGTTTCCAATAGATGGAGACTAAAATGGAGGCTAAGGGCCCGTTCTTTTGGCGGCTAAAAAAATAAGCCGTCTCTCCCTAGCTTAAACAAGCCACTATCTAAATTTGTTGGAGTAAATAGCATAAAACTACTACTTTACAGGCTAAGGTTTCAAAAAACTATCAAATATTTTTTTTCTCTGATAACTACCAAATCATAGGTCGGCTGTTTCAAAAAACTCTAATCATCCAGTGCTTTACCGTTGATCGTGATTATGACAACTGGGCCCGCATGTAAGACAACTGATTGTCCGACCATTTGTTTGACCGTTAGCTGACATGTGAGGCCCATATGTCAGTGTCTCTTTGTCATAAATTAAAAAAAATCAATAAAGCAATCGGGTATCTGTAAAATTTGAAAAAAGCAATCGGGTCCCTGCAGACTTAAAGAAAAGGCAATCGGGTCCCTCCCGGGCTCAAGCTCGAGAGGAGTTGCGCCACCCTCACGCGCTCGTCGGCGTGCAGCAAGGGCCGCCGCCGAGCTCCCTTCGGCCGCTGTCTTCTCCTGCCGGCAAGCTGCACCTGGAGCCACCGTGAAGTCCCAGCTGCGCGGCCTCTCTCTCTCTCCTCCCTCTTCCTTGGCGCGGCGGTCCGAGCCCGAGCCCCTGGCCATGGCGCTCGGCTCGCGGCAGCGCGTGGTCTGGGCGCGTCGGCCTAAACCCTGGCCATGGCATGCGGCGGCCGTTGCTCCCTACTCCTGGGCGCATCTCCCGGCGCTCCTGGGCGCGGCAGCCCGTGCCCCTGGGCGCGTCTTGCGGCGGCCCTTGCTCGGTTGCTTCTGGGCGCGGCTCGCGGCGGCCCTTTCTCCTGGGCGCGGCCGTCGGTGAGTGGTGGAGGTGGCCGTCGATGAGTGGTGGAGGTGGCCATCGGCGAGTGGTGGAGGACCTGCAGCTCGGGCAAGGGGGAGAGAAGAAAAAGACAGGAGGAGAGAAGAAAAGGTAGGAGGAAGAAGAAACATCTTACATGTGGGTCCCACAATAAGCTAACGGTCAAACGAAACGGTCAACAAACGAATTGTTTAGGAGCGGGCCCGACCTGTCATAAACCGGTTTAAAATGTTAGCAACGTCGAATTTGGTTTTTTGAAACAGTCGACCCATGAGTTGGTAGTTATCAGCGAAAAAATATTCGGTAGTTTTTTGGAACCCTAGCCTGTAAAGTAGTAGTTTTATGCTATTTACTCAAATTTGTTGAGACTTCTAAATTAGTTATCACACATTTGCATATGTACATATAATTGGTAAACCATTGTGTATAAGATGTTTTAATATTGTCTCCACGCTGTATAATTTAGTACTCCATGTGTTCCTAAATATAAGAAGTAATTGAATTGCAAACACGTCTTACATTTAGGGACATAGATAGTAATAGTTAGCACTTGTTCTTAATTACATATACAATAGAGGATCTACAAATAAACTATATAACTATTTTTCATTTTTAAAAGATACATTACGAACTACAAAAATATACTTGAATTTTACTTTCTAGTAACGAACCAAAATCCCCTTAGCTAGATATGCATGGATGCATTGTTAGAAACATATGTAACCATTTTCATACTAGTAACCATTACATGTACAATACCTTGGACCCAAGATCCAAGAAATTACAGCATAATTCCTACAAATAGGAATGATGATATATAGAGTAAATTGCAAAAAACCACCACAATTTGGTCGAAGTTATCAATGCTTCAGGAAAAACCACCTGAAAAATCATGCATTTTAGTGTGTGTTTGATGGCTTTTGCTCAATTGTTGTGGTGGTTTTTGCAATTTACTCTGATACATATCCTTTGGAGATATATTTGATATCAATTGAGCGGACCTAGATAGGTAGACTCCTTGTGCCTCTTGTGTGCCAAAAAGACCCACACTATGTGGAACAGCCCCATGTATGGGCTAGATTCGATTGTCACAAAAAAGAACGAGAGGATGCGTCACCACCATAGTTGTTTTAGATGTGCTCATTGGGGTATGGGTGTGTGTGTTCATAAGGACGAGTGTATGTGCGTGTATGTAAGCGTCTCTGACCGTGTTAAAAAAAACAAATGTCTCACATCCTCTATATTGAAAATGTTGTAAATTAGCAATGCTCGTGTGGTTCTTATGGGTCGGT